TGGTCACTGTCTCACAGTGAAGACCAGGTCACCATGTTGGGTTTGGATTGGAGATTTCGAGCCGGCTGCGGTATCTCAGAGCCGGAGCTGTCCCTTGAGTTTCCATTTTCTCCCCTGAGCATCTGCCTCTCTCCCCGATCCTTCCACAGACCTGTCTGATTTAGGCTGAGCCACGCTTCGTGCACTGTCACTCCAGGTCCCAGTTGGCAAAGTCCTTTGGCAGCATTGTTATTGGCCTGGTGCTGATAGGGGTAATTATTTTGATTATCTTGGCATCTAGCAAGCAGGCAATTTTATTTTATATTTAGTTATTCATCAATACTTCTTTCCAGAGGAGATTTAAAGTGGTTTATAAAAACGCACAACACGGAGCAAAGTAAAATGAATTAAAAATGAGGAATGAGAGTTGGACCAGGCAAGGTTATCTGCAGGCAGATGGTTTTAAGGAGCCAGGGTTAGTGACTTCTGTCTTGCAACTGAAATCTGTGCTGGAGGAGATGCTCTTTTGTGGGTGAAGACACCTCATTAGAGTGCATCCCAGGGCTGTCCTCGAGCCCCTCTTCTACTCCCCATCTCTGCAGACTAAATGTGACACTACAAGCAGGGAGCACGTGTCGGGTTTCCAGCTCAGCATTGGGGCCATTTGCCAAACTTGATTTAACTGATGTTAGTCTAGTCTTTGGCCAAGTGTTAAGAGGGTAATGCATGTAAAGCCATTAGAAAAGTCCGGGGCATAAATCAGTGTCATTACACGCTCTCATTACGATCATACAAAGTGGTTAGAATGGTGATCCTGGGGTATGACAGTCCCAGGGGTGTGAATGTGTGTGTGTGTGTGTGTGTGTGTGTGTGCGCGTGCGACTCAAATTCCTGCCTAGCATTTACCTAAACCAAGTTATTTAATCTCTGCAAGTCCATTTGCTAGTCCACAAAAAGGAGTGATAAGAATATGGCCTGAGCTGGGAGGCCAGTGAGGGGGTATATATGGAGCAACTGGAACAGCACTTCACGAGCATTGACCACTCTCTCAGCAGCAGCTGTCGGTATTACCAAAAGGTGATGTCACAACATTTAGTTCAGAGTTCAAGTTGGCTTTTATTTTTGATTCTAGACTTGGGCAACACCTCATTCTATAGATTAAAGCGAGAGTTCCGATGTGTTCAGCAGAGGAGACTGGTTTTACAGACAGAAAAGGGCTGAAGAAAGAAGAAACAGGATAAAAATCTGGTCATTTTGAAGTCACTTTCCTTGTAAAGGTTAAAATAGAAGGGGTTTCCTTATCATGTCAATGGAAACTGAACTGTTGGAAATGGAAACTGTTCGGGGGTTTGACTATTACCTCTCCCCTGACCTCTCAGGTCAGGTGAGCAACTTAGATTTGGATTGGTGATGTGGGATTTCAGCATGAGTGACTCCACCTGGGTTTGCTCTTTTGGGCTGGTGTAGGGGCTCAGTCCAAACTGTAGCCTCCTGTTCATTTTATGCAATGCCATTCATAGATATTCCTTTCCCTTCTTGTGGGATTTTTAAGAAGAGAAGGGAAGAGGAGCCCACTTATAAAACAGGAGCAGCATTTGAGCTTCTTTGGGGCAGCTGTGTTGTGTGAGGGCACAGGGTCACCTGGAAGATGCGCCACCTGGACCCTGGATGCTACTTCTAGCCTTCCTACCACACATTCTCTCTGCCTCACAGTGACACACCACCGTTCCTTCACCATGCCATATGCTCTTCTGAGAAAATACCTCCCTCCCACCAGTAGAGACTCGAGCGCCTCCTGGGGCGGTGGTGGAATGAAGTTGGTCTCCCAACTTGTGAATTCCCAGTGGGGCCTTCCAGAGCCTGGGCAATGGGTCCACTTCTTGGGCTGAAGTGATGGGTGATGGAAGTCCGTGGAAAGCACAGAGAATTTGGAGCCAAGAGCCCTGGTGCTGTTTATTAACCGTGTGCTCTTAAGAAAGCGGCTTAACCATTTTAAGCCTCATTTAACTCAGCAATAAAGTGGAGAGAAATTCGATTTTTGAATGACTGAACAACCTAGTGGTTGAAAAATGCTTGTAACAATTTCATGTTTCAGGGGTTTGCTGTGTATTAGGCACAGTGTGTGTTTCCACGAATTAAATCTTTCACCTCTCACAGTGCAGCAGTTTTATCATTGTAACTGCAGAGGTGTGAAAAATGAGACTCTGAAGGTTGAGGAGTCAGTCCAAGGTCACACAAATAGAAGTGACTGGGCCTGCACCTGGAACAGGCTCTGTCTTCAGGGCCCGTTTTCTCACCAGGGTGCCATGTGTCTGGGATTCAAGCCTTGTCTTTGTGCTGGGTGGTTCTAGACATCATGGAACTTCCAGTGCCCCAGGGGCTTCTCTTATTAGGAAGATAACACTTTTGAACAAAGTTGTCTGAAAGTGTCTCAAGAGGGCCTGAAAAACTCCACATTTTTTAATAGATGGGTTTGTTGTTGTATTTTGTGACATTATTATTATTTTTAAAGATTTTGGGGTAAAAGATGTATGAGGGTACTTAATCCTAACCATTCCTAAAGGTTCCACTTTAATGAAGCATTTATGATGATCCTATTCAATACCTTCTGTTTACTATGACAGTTTAAACTCTCCACACCTGGCAGCAGTTTTTCCCATAACGTCATCTTCTATCATGGAAGACCACATATTTCTTCTTCTTTTTAAAACACTGTCTGTGCGTGGCTCCATGAAATAACTTCGTGAGGAGAAGCATCGTTGTTTGCTTTGTTCCAAGGAACTAGGAGAATACCTGATACTCGGTAAGTTCTCAGTAGATTCTTATTGAATAAATATGTGAAGACAGACTCTGTTTCTTTGGTCAGGATGATTTGTGTGAACCCTTAAGAACACAGCAAGATTGACCAAGGACAAGATAAGATTTGGCTCTAAAAATAGGAAAACAACCTAAATATTTATACTATTAAGAACTCAGTGGAGGAAAAAATACCCCATCAGATACTGACCTTTATTCCATCATTAGATCAGCTTTTGCCAAACACTGATCAAAATTTTACTGTTATTTATCTGAAGTTCTATGAGATCCTTCTAAATTCAGTTTTTGTTTCAAGGATGCCAAGAGGACAAGTAGAATCACCTTTGAGGTTCACATTCCATATTTTCAATGCCTCAAATTATTAGCAGCCAGAATCACAGGGACAGGATTGTCCTAACACCTGGCAAGAATCCCATTTGTATCAGAATCCTAAACTCAGTGTGACAGCTTTGTCCCTTAATGAGCTTTGCAAGCTAATGCCAGAATGGCTTGATTCACTGATTGATAATGATCTGGCATTTAAAAAAATGGGACAGGTCCTTGGGAATAAGAGGAGAACTTGGAAACAAACAAGGCCATGCTACTTGGCAGGAAGAGAGAGGAGGAAGCCATTTGGCAGGGCGACAGGCTGAAGAGATTCTGCTGGTGCTCACCCTTTCTTGCTCTCAGTCTAGCTCCTAAGTTCGTTCTGCTCATATGCTCATCAAGTGCAACCCCAAATGAAGGCAGAGTTGATGTTGGAAACTCAGGGAATGGAAGACTGGGAGATAAGATTTAAGAATGCGTTTAAGAGCATGTCACTCACATTATCCCAGAAGGTAGAAAAAAATAATTTTTATGGTTTCATTATTTATTTTTAATTGACACATGAAAATTGTGTTCTGGTTTGGATCTGAACTGTACCCCCTAAAGCCTTGTGCTCAGGGGAGGGGCTTTTGGAAGTGAGTGGATAGCGCGAGCATTGTACTCAAGGATGGATTCAAGAGTTCAGAGCTAAATGTGCTGTTAGGAGGCGGGGTCTGGGGAGGAGAGAAAGGTCACTGGGTGTGACCCGGAAGTGCTCATCTCCCTTCCGGCTCCTCCTCCCTCTCTGCTTCCTGGCTGCCACAATATGAACAGCTTTCCTCGGACCAGGCCCTTCCATAATGGCACTGACCATGCAAGGGCTGAAACATCCAAAACTGTGGGCCAAAAGAAACCCTTTTTCTGCTAAGTTGCTGGTGTTGGGTATCGCATTTCGCAGAGAAAGTGACTAAGACAATTGTATATATTTATGGTGCATAATGATGCTTTGAAATATGTATATATTGTGGATTGGTTAAACCAAGCTCATTAACACATGTATCTCATCTCACATTATTATTATTGCTTTTTTTTGTGTGTGGTGTGGACAGAAAATCTTTCTTAGCAATTTTGAAATATACAGTACATTTTTTTTGTTTTGGTACTGAGGATCAAACTCGGGACCTTGCGATTACAGTACATTTTTATTAACTATAGTCACATGTTGTACAATAAATCTCTTGAACTTACTGAACTTTCATATCCTCTAACTGACATCTTCCCAGTCCTCCCACTCTGATCCCTGGTAACTGCTGTTGTTTTCTATTTATCTGTGTTCAAATTTTTAGATTCCATGTATGAGTGCAAATGTATTTGTTTTTGGTATTTGTCTTTTTATTTCTGTATTATTTCATTTTATATATTATCTTCCAGGTTAAATCCTGTGGTCAAAAATAACAAGATTTCCTTACTTTTTACAGCTGAATAGTATTTCATTGTGTGTATATATATCATACTTACAAAAAGTAATTCTAAGTGTGAATGAGTAAGGTACAGTATGCAAATTATGTTCTTCACCATAATATTATGACTTTGGATTTGTAACTCATGAAATCAAGGAGGCTGAGGTTCAGAAAGGTTAGTTAGCTTGCTCAAGGTCTGAAAGGATTAAAACTATATCTGATTTCAAAGCCCAGTCCCTAATGCTACACTGGTAGGGTTTCTCCAACAAAGTGCTGGTTCTGATGAGGAGTCTGCAAGGTTTGGAAGAAACCCACGGAGCCAAGTTCCAGCTCTGTCCTTGCCCATTTAGACTGAAATTTTGAATGATTCACCTCACTGCTTTGTCCCTGATGCTCGGTCAAAAATGGGATTTGCAATACTGGCTTCCAAGGGTTTCTGAAAGATTAAGTGAAATCAAGTTTGTGCAAGATATGAAGTGCTTTATAATTCTAAAAGATCATTATTATTGAACAACAGTCAAGCCATGGTCATCTGAACTGACCTTCAAGGAGATTCTATTATCTGTATTTTTATTTCAGCAGTGACGTTGGCTTCATGGCAGAGAATGGCACGAGAGTGGTGGAATTTGTTCTGATGGGGTTCCAGATCCAGGGAGCACAGTGGCTGAGTCTCTTCGTGGTGTTTCTGGTCTTCTACCTCTTTACCCTTGGGGGCAACCTGGGCATGATCACACTAATCCAGAGTGACCCCCGGCTGCAGACACCCATGTACTTCTTCCTTGGCCACCTCTCCTTGCTGGACATTTGCTACTCATCTGTTATTGTCCCTCAGTTGCTTGAGACGTTGGGGACCGATAAGATGGTCATCACCTACGAGCGCTGTGCCACGCAGTTCTTTTTTTTCACACTCTATGCGAGCACTGAGTGTTTTCTCCTGGCAGTGATGGCCTATGACCGCTACATGGCTGTGTGTAACGCCCTCCTCTATGCCACAGCTATGACACCACAGACCCGCCTGGGGCTGGTGGCTGGGGCATACGGTGGTGCCATGGTGAATGCTGTGGTCCGCACTGGGTGCACCTTCTCCATGTCCTTCTGTAGGTCCAACCACATTGACTTCTTCTTTTGTGACCTCCCACCCCTGCTGAAACTTGCCTGCAGTGACACGCGATCACGGGAGCAGGTGAGCTTCCTCTTAGCTTTCTTGGTAATCACAACCAGCATCTCAGTGATTCTTATATCCTATCTCTTCATCATTCGAGCTACTCTGAAGATTCGTACAGCAGGTGGCAAAGCCAAGACCTTTTCTACCTGTGCTTCCCACATGACTGCAGTGGCTCTTTTCTTTGGGACACTCATATTTATGTACCTGAAAGGGAACATGGGAAAATCCCTCTGGGAAGACAAGATTGTGTCAGTATTTTACACCATGGTCATCCCCATGCTGAACCCAGTGATCTACAGCCTGAGGAACAAGGACGTGAAGGAAGCTTTGAAGAAAGTTCTCAGAAGAATGAAGGTTTCCTAAGCAGAGTAAGACTGAGATCCATTAGTCCAGAAGTCCCTGCGGGTCATCCTTCTGGCTTTTGTCTTGTCTCTTTACCACATGAGCCAGATATCACAATGACAAAGCTATACTGAGGCAGAAAACGTAATTTGTATTCTAGAATTTTATTAGCTCTATGACTCTTGACCCAGAAATACTCTTCCTCAGTTTTCTCATCAGAAAAAAAATCTGTCTCAGGATGGTTAAACGTCAAGAGCTCTTTAGCTAGGATCAAGAGAGATGGAATAACAGAGAGCTTTGTAAATAACAACGTGCTGTAAAATGTAAGATTTATTTTTCTGACCCTTCCTGAGTGTTGTTGACTGTTTTCTCAGCAGTTACTTTACATTTTCCTAAGTTACTTTTTGTGCCTAGAATTACAAAACAGTAGCTTTTTTTTTTTTTTTTTTTTTTCAATCATCATTCTGGTCTTCTGAGCTCAGTGCAGTATCTCC